TCTGCGTATTATTACTGTCACATTTTTGATATAATATATTCCATATACTTTGTAATTGCGCTGAGGATGTTCCAAAAAAAGGGACCGAAACGTACGCTTTTTGTGATTTTGTCTATCACATAATCAAAATATCAATGTAATTTGATAGTAATAAAACATATGTGCACAAATTACCGCGCTGGCTCTTGATTACCTTTTACTTCCTTTGTATGAAGAAACAAATAGAGTAAAGTTTGTAAATACAGAAATAATTTTGGGTAAATATAGCGAATAGGGGACCCAGCCCCAATGACCTTGACCTTGACATATGTTATCAAGGACATAATTCTGAGTAACTTTTTCTTCTAATTTAATCGTCGCTCGTTGCTTATTAAAAAGTTATTAACAAACAAAAATTTGTAAAAATCAAGATTTATACATAGTCTGACAATGAAAAACTGGATATTTAAGTTAGTTTACAGAAATAGTCCTACGTATACTACACATATAAACTAAAATAAACACAAGTTTTTACATATATAGGGTGTTCAAAAATAAAATATAAGTATGTTGAATTAATTATTTATTGGATAAATATAGCGAATAAGGGACCCAGCCCCAATGACCTTGATCTTGACATATGTTATCAAGGACATAATTCTGAGTAACTTTTTCTTCTAATTTAATCGTCGCTCGTGGCTTATTAAAAAGTTATTAACAAAAAAAGTTTGAAATATACCAAAGTACACGCATAGACAGGAAGCACGCGCGCGTGATTCCTGTCCGTGCATGTACTTTGGTATATTACAAACTTTTAAGTTTTACCTTTTCCTCTTCCCCCGGCCCATGCGTTCGATTTACTACACATAAATAAATGAATCTGCTAAAAATACATTTTCAAGACATATATTTTCAACTTTCACGTGTACATACACATTGATGTTAGCAGGTCGCGGAAATATTGCTTTGTGTTTACATTTGAATACCTTCCCTCAATGTTTATACTATTTCATGTTCATTTTTTATTATTTTCTGTACTAGTGAATTCTTATGATGACACAGTCTTGTTTAATTCTTCCAAGCGTAAAGTTCTTACTT